TGCCCCTTCTGAACTCCAACAATCACACACATAATGTATTTAACATAAAGTACTCTTCAGCTTTTGAAGATACAATTTTACAAACTTGTAATGGTTTCTTTTAACTATTAAAAGTTGGACTAAGACAAAGCAACAATGCTTTGCAATACAAGATCACCTTCTAAAGTGGAGGTGAGAAAATAAAGGGACTATGCCAGGAGCGTGGGGCTACGGAAAGAGAAACTTCCACCATCTAGACTCCTGTCAAAACCAATGACGGTTTCAGGAAGACATAAATAAGTGCAAAGTATTTAACATTGAGACAATGGCTATCACAGGCAGACCCACCCAAAGAACCACTAGAAATGTATACTGGAGCCAGTAATTCAAGGGAGGATATGAAAGATTTTGGACAAGTAATCAAAGTGAAGCTACTGGGTTCATTTTCTCCATTTGAAAAGGCTGGCATCCAAAAGAAACAGTTAGAGTCATCAAGGAAATGAGAATTTTCAACAAAGACATGTTTTGTTGAAGATTTTTACCCTGCACTCATCAGGATAAATCATGAGAACTGTCAATGTAAGGGGAAAACAACCTTTTTACATTGCATGAGAAGAAATGTTAATCAGTTGGCAAGTAGACTCCAAATAGTTGTGTGGTTGCCATGGAACTATGAAAGTCAGGTATGTTTCTTTTCATTAAATACCAACTGTCTAAGTATTAGAGGTGGGAAGAAAGACTGGCTAAAGTTGGAAGATATGCAATGATACCTCTAGGAATATGTCCAGTAAAATTTGCCTTATCTACACACTGTACAAATGAAGTAGTGTTGCAAAAAACAAGACCACACTTATGAAGTACACTCCCCGTTTGTTGAGCTGATGATTTCAATTGAGCTATCTGGAAGAGGTGCCAGGAAACGTTCAGTGCTTCCCTGGGAGTGGGTGGGGTCTGGTGATATTTGGAAGAATGCAAGAGAAGAGCTGGAGGTGGGGGGAGGGGGGAAGAGAGTGGCTGCAAAGGGGTGGGGGTGTTTGGAAAGGAGGGAAGTCAGGTTCTACCAAGTTGCAGATGAAAGAAGCTACCAAAAAAAAGGGATTGAGAGGTTTGAAAATCTTTCAATACTGGAATACACAGCTAACTGGGAAACAGAAAAAAATTTAAGCCATTGAGGAAATTAATTCCTTTTAAATGCATGTAGAATCTCTAGGTTTATGCTGCACAAATTCAGTAGCTACTATATGATGGAGAAATATTGTTGCCTTTATCGTGATAAGCATTTTGTCAATTGGATAATTTAATAAAGAACAGTTTTATATGGTAAAGATTTGGTTTAATGGGCAAGGGAATAGAATAGCAGGTAAGTGGGTGGGTATGTAGAGTGGCAAATAGGTGGGCGAGGGGTATATGTTGGCAGGTTGGTGGTTCAGGGTGTAAGATAACAGATGGATAAACAGGTAGGTTGCCAGTTGGCTGTAAGGTACCATTGCAATTAGGTGCTGGAAGTGGCTGATTGGCTAGGGGGGTATGGTGATAGGTGATGTGAATGCAGGATGGCAGGTACCCATACCTGTATGAGGAAATAAAAATGGTAGAAGTATGGGTGACAGGCTCAGGTGTCTGGTACGAAAGCATTTAGTCTGCCATTTTGTTAAGGAGGTGAAGTAGCAGCTAAATAGGTGACAGTTTGGACTTCACTTCATCTGTCACCTCTCCTGATAATGGCAAAATGTGTGCCCCTGCCAGGAGCAAGGAACCCCCTGATAGTAGTTGGATGAAAATAGAAGATTGTTACCTTTTCCTGTTATTCAACCAGGTACATAGGAGCAGAGGAAGAGGATCCCCAAATGGGTGCTGATGTAGTAGAAACAACGCATTAGGGCTCAGAAGTCCAGGGAGTCAGGAGATATAGCTATACACTGGGGCTAGGGCTCGGGAAAATCCCCCGGAGAAGATATGTGCCATTCGACAGCAAAGGTGAAGGAAACCTGTATTATCTGTGTGCAGCTAACTAGCCTTAGTATTTGGGGAAAGTTGGAGCAGTGCCAGATTGGTGAAGTTAGTTGCTAGTGAAAAGCTGAAATTGTACCTGTAAATAGGTGCTGGAGTGCAGTTTTCAGAATCCAGGAGTGCAGATCCAATTAGGGGAGTGAACATACCAGAGCACGAGTGGCCATTGAGGTAATCGTGACAAGATGGGTTTTAAGGGAGTTCCAAGACTGGGACTTTGAAAGAGGATCCCTTGCAAAGTTTTAATGAAATCTGATGACCCACCGTGTCATTAATATTTGATGGGTGACTGAGGAATCCACAAGGTTTGTCTTGACCACATTTGCTATTTGATATGCTCTGTGGGGTATTCAGCCAGTTTTCCTGTTAAGCATAGTTACATCAGGTTAATTATGAATTTTAAAATATAAATGATGTATGATTCTAACTTTATGATTAAAATTTAATGTTGTTTGTTCAAAATGATGGAATCTCATGGCGTTATGCTCTTGGTAAGTATCTGCATCTGCAATTTTGTCTACTTTAAAAAAAAAGTTATTGGTTTCACAACGTAACCCAGTTCCAAAAACTTGAACACAATCTATCTGAGCACTTCTGAGCAATGCTGTACTGTAAATAGCACTTCATTTAGACAAAATGTTAAGTCTAAAGCCTACACATAAAGATCCCATGGATTCAAAGGAGAGCCAAGAACACCTCTTGGGTGCCCTAGCATATATTTATCCCTCAAATAACATAAGTTAAATATTATCTGGGTCTATGCTGCTTAGAAAATTGGCTGCTTCATTCCCTGCTTTACATCAGAAATTGGATTTAGAAGGTACTCTATTGGTAAAGTACTATCAAACGTTCCTGACATTGTGTATAACATTATTGAAACACAAGTCTTTGGCTTCACTCTAAACATCTCCCAAAGTTATGGGGTCAGCATGGGGGTAGGTCTGATAAAATAAATGAACTTGATTCAGTAAACAAGGAGAACTAGCTTCCAGTTGTACACAGGTCAGTAACCATGGGGCACAGATTTAAAAGATCCTGCAGTATCATGATGAAATGTTCGTACGATTGCGTTACTGCGACATGGGGTGCACTGCTTAAAAATTGAAGGAGATAACATAAGAAAATAAGAGATAGAAGGAAGAGTAAACCATTCATCCCCCGAACCTGCTGTGCCATGAGATGACGGCTCTAATGAACAGTCATCTAGACTCCAAGTGTTAGCCTGCTCTCTCTCCACGGATGCTGCCTGACCCGCTATGATTTCCAGGATTTTGTTTTCAGTCCAGATTCCAGCATCTGCAGTAATTTGCTCCTGCAATGGTGGCTAATCTGGTTGTCATGTTGTCTCCACTTTCCTGCCTGTTCCCCATAATCCTTGCTTCAATTGCCAATCAAAAATCTATTTAACTCAGCCTTGAATATACTCAGTATCCACCGTTTGAAGGGGATGGCAATCCCAGGCATTAATCACCCTGTAGAAAAGAAAATCCTTTCCATCTCCGTTTAAATGGGAAACAGCTTATTCTGAAACTTGGTTCTAGATTTCTCCCCATACGGCAAATTCCTCTTATCATCCACGTTATGAAGCCCTTAGGATTTTATATGTTTCAATAAGGTCACCACTCATCCTTGTAACCTTCAATGACAATAGTCACAATGTGATCAACCTTTCCTCAGTCTAGGAATCTGCTGAGTAAACCTTCCCTGAACTGTTTCCAATGCAAATATGTTTCCCCTTCGACAAAGTGACCAAAATGCATACAATACTCTCGCTGTGGTCTCACTACAGTTTGTCCCACTCTCTACCGGGCGTAACGTGTTTTCTTCCAGAATCACATTTCTTAAATTCAGGAAAAGAAACTCCCAGCTCTGATTAAATAAAACTGTTCGGAATGCAAGCACTTTGGTAAATAAATGAGGTGATTTTGGAATATGTATTGACGTCCACTTTAGAGGCAGGAACAGGTTCCATTAAAGGGGCCATGTGTTTTACAAAGTAATCCCCCACGTCTGTTCGACTACTAGGCAAGTATTGCACAGGACTCAAGAAGAATTCAAGAAATAGTCAAATAATTCATAAGATGCTAACTTCCCAAGTGCATAGAAATTAGCTCAAATTAGTTATGTCATTATTGAAAATTGATAGTCGGGTGAATTTATTCTTAGGAACTACTCGACTTAGAGTAAACTGTCTTTATAGTGTAGGATGCGTGCCAAAAAAAATCTTCCGTTAAAATCTCCAAACTTCCGTGAAATGAATCGCAATCTTCTTCTCGTTTCATGATAAAACAAAAAATCCCCGGCACTAAGGCACTGGCTGACTTTTCTCGCTCCCAGAGGCCGGGAGGCAATGGGCTCAGGCAACCAGATCACGTTATCATCTAAACTGTGCTCCAACTTAATTTGTTTCCACCATCTGATCATTCTGCAGACCTTCTCCTGCTTTTGAACGATTCAAACAGAACTTGATGCGGCAGAAGAGGGCGGAACAAAGCTGTTCCTCAATTTCTATTATCAAACCGCCTTCTTTGATCTGCACGGCAGAAGGTGACCCAGATTACACAAACACTTTATTTCAAATCCTCCCCTATCTCATCGCAGATTCTTTCGTAAACTAGCTCCAAATGATATTCAGACGAGTTTGGATGTAATGAGACCCCTCTCCTGCCCCAGATGGCCAGACTTTATTCTCAAGACTATTCCTCCAAAAAATATGAAAGTCTCTTTTATTGCCTCCTCCCATCCATTCCGGCGGATTTCCTATCTCACTGCTGGCTGAGATTTAAATTCAAATCTGAACCGCACGTAAAAGAGATCTCCAGAGCATCGCTTTTACAGTCTCACGTTAAGGGGTTTCCTTTTAAAGTTAAAAGGTTTGGAGTTCTAGTCTATTACTGATCAGGTATATCTGAAAGAGGATTTAATTATTTGAAGGTTTGGCTGGCCACATATGATGTCTATGCTAAATTATCAGAAATATAGACGTTAATATTTCGGGTTGCTGTACTTACACTGAGCAGCGATGAAGAGTAGCAAACATAGGGGCCGGGCGGGCTTTCCACTCACTCTTGAAGTGTTAGAGAAAGCCATGATTTTGAAAGGAAACCATCCTGTAGCTTTGGGAGCAGTGTGAGATTTACCCGGTCCTGGTGTCTCCCGATATCCGCACGCAGTTCTTGGACAGATGCTGCTGCTATGGAGATGTCAGTCTAGAGGCGGCACTCATTACCTTCACCCAGTTCATTGTAAGGACCCCGGGCGATTTTCTAAACCCGCTACAGATCTCAATGTTCAGCGGACTGGAGTTTACTCAAGTTGGTCGTTTCTTTCTGCAGTCTTAATCCTGGCAAAACAAAGCATCCCCTTGTTTCCTCTGTGCGCTGCCCTTTGTGAACAGCGACCAACCAGTCAGTCCCCGGAGTAGATAACGCGTTGCTATGTTTCCCACTAATAGAAACCACGCATGACTTTTACAACTTAGAGCTTACTCTTCAACTGATCTGATCGCCGAGCACCCAATGTTTCAAACTATTTTGTATTGCTAAAAAAATGCTTCACACAGGGCGCATAATTTCTCTTTAAGTCATCAACTATTTTGACCGCACCTTAAGTGGGATCGTGTGTTGCGGAGTGATAAAGGCAGGGGTTAAATATACTCTCATACTTTTGAACATCCGAGTTATTTAAACGTGAGTTTGGATTGGACCATTATTACTTACAGTGCGGTTTGGTGGATTTGGAATTCCTGACTAATTAACTGCAAACATGATACGGAAATTTTTCGACAAGATAGAACCTTCTGCCACTGTCAGATCCGCGGAATATTTGGACAATGTGCGAGTCAATGCCCAAGCGATGTCCATCTGGACTGATCCGATCAGATCAGTTATTGATTGTGGATTTCAGGTTGTTTCTTCCCATTACAGTTTAAAAATAGGACATTGCACCGATCCGCTAAAACGTGCAGCGAAGTCTCTCCAATATAGTGTCTCAAAAGGAATTTCCCTCCATTACTCTGGCTGGAGTTTAACAGGTGCATTTGACCTCTCTTTGCAAAGGAGATATTCTTGATGTCAATCTTAAAATGACGAGGAGACATTTGAACCTGTGTTAGTCCTTACTAGTTCTTGGATAAATCTTGTAAACAAACCCATGTAATTGTTATTTCATATACGGCTATAAAAATAATCTGTCCCACTGCCTTTGTGTTGCAGAATTACCCAATTCCTCTTCAGTCTGTAAGCGTAATCCTGAGCTCCCAGCTCCAGTTGTTTCAATTCTCTGTCCCATTTATTCCTTGACCATACAGTGTTCCACCTCCTGAACAAGGTGGTGGAAACACAATCTTTGAACATTTTTAGGACAGAAGTAGGTAGGTTCTTGTAGTTGAATTGCAGTTTTGAAGGACAGTCATATGAGACAGGAAAGGTCAACTCTACTTTTTCCACAGGTAGTACCAGACCTGTGTGTTTCTCCAGCATTTCTATCCAAGAGAAGCACAACCTCATTCTTTCCATTGGGCACGTCACACTTTCAGACTTAATGTTTTTAACATGCTCAAGTTGTTGTTGGTGAAAATTTTGCTAACCATGCGTAACTCCATAAGATTCATCTTTTGTACCTCTACTTGTCCTGTTACCATCTGTTTTTTTGTCTTGGATCATCATTTCTCCCGCCTCTTACCTTATCATTGACTCTTTTCGGTCTCCTGTTCTGCAACCCTGCTCCTTCGCTGCTTCTGAACTTGCTTAGAGTCTGTTACATCTCCAACTTTCCCCCCACCCCCAGTTCTGATGAAGGGTCATTACCCAAAAGCCTTGTTTTTTTCCTCACTCCATTAATGGTGCCAAAAAGTTTCCTGTTTTTACTTCAAGTTTTGTGTTTCTTTCAGGGTTTAGATGACACAAAATCAAATAAATACAAAACGAGTATACAGTCAGAGTCATACAGCACAGAAACAGACCCTTCAGTCCAACTAGTCCATGCCTACCATGTTCCCAAATTAAACTAGTCCCACCTGCCTTCATTTGGCAAGCCTTTCCTATTTCTTCCAAACCTTTCCTGTTCATGTACTTATCCAAATGCCTTTTAAACATTTTAACTGTACCTGCATCCTTTACACACTAACCACTAAAAAAAAAATGCCCCTCATTTCCTTAACTCTTTCCCCTCTCACTTTAAAAAATATGGCCCCTAGTTCTGAACTCCTCCACTTTAGGGAAGAGACCCTTGCTATGCACCTTGTCTACGCCCTTCATGATTTGATAAACTTCTATAAATGTCACTCCTCAACCTTGTACACCTTAGTGAAAAAAATCCTATCCTATTTTAAAGCTCAAAGACTGTCCATCCTGGTTAATATTTTCTGAACCCTCCCTGTTTAACAATTTCCTTCCTATAACAGGGCATCCAGAGTTGCACACAGTACTCCAGAAGAGACTTCACCAACATCCTGTTGGAATCTCAACATGACATCCCAACTCCTACAGTCTGAGCAATGAAGGCAAGCATGCTAAACATCTTAACCACCCTGTCTACCTGTGATGCAAATTTCAAAGAATTATGTATCTGAACTTCTACATGTCCCTGTTCTACAACACCACCCAGGGCCCTAACATTAATTGTATAAGTCCTGATTTTGTTTGTTTTACCAAAATGCAATACCTCACATTTATCCAAATTAAACACCAACTGCTACTCTTCAGCCCATTGACCCAATTGATCAAGATCTCTTTGTAATCTTAGATAACCTTCTTCACTGTCCACTATACAACCGATTTTGGTGTCATCTGCAAACTTACTAACCTTGCCTCCTATATTCTCATGCAAATCAGTTATATAAATGAAAAACAGAGTGGACCCAATACCGATCTCTGTGGAGCACCACTGGTCACAGGCTCCAGTCCTAAAAACCATCCTCTGCCACCTCCCTCTGTCTCCTCCCCTAAAGCCAATTTTATATTCAATTGGCAAGCTCACCCACAATCCCATGTGATCTAACTTTAAAAATTAGACTACCACATGGAACCTTAAGGCTTTACTAAAGTCTAAGTAAACAATATCTACGGCCCTACCCTGAATCGTTTTGGTTACTTCCTCAAAAAACTCAATCATGTTTATGAGACACAATTTCCCTCGTATAAAACCATGTTAACTGTCCCTACTCATTCCTTGCCTCTCCAAATGCATTGTTAAGGGGAGGTAAAGCCCCTCATGATTAAAATTGATACACAAGCCCCCCCCCCCCCAACCCCCGGCCCCGATGCATTAAAGCAGGCGTAGAGGTCTCCTCCTAATAATTAAACCCAAAACACCCAGAGAAGCTTGCCTCACCTTGCCCAATCACTTAAACTGTCATGGAGAAGGGGATGTTAAATGAAAGAAAATCTCCGATATTCATTTTATAAGTAATAAGAAACAATTTATTTAACCCTAACAGTGAACAAATTAAACAGAATTACTAACAACTGAACAATTCCCCCTTAACTACTAACTATTCCCTAACTGAACTAAATTGGTATGCTGTTCCACGAAACACAAGTTTCACTTATATAAACCCAAGCAATAAGAAAATAAATTAAAACTTAGTCTCTCAAAGTCTATGTGCCTTTCTTCTGCTGTTCTCAAATCATAAATGCCTTTCTTCTGCTGATCTGGCTGTCAGGGATATTTTCTGTGAAGTCTTACATGAGGACTCTTAGCTAGGAATGCTGTGGTATCTTTTATGGATAGATGGCGCTTTCTTATTGATCTTAGTGATTTCTTATGAGAGCTAGGTGCTTATTTCTTAGATGGCAGTTCATTCTCATGCCAATTTTCAAAAAAACCCTCCTTATATACTTTAGATGATATCAAATTTCCTTATAAAGCATTAATCCAAGGTTGTCAAAACCATCATATTTAGATTCAATTGGCTTTCAATCGCTAAGTGCTTGGTTTAAATTAATTGGCTGATTCCAGCGAGTTGCCAAAACATCAAAACAAGTCTACAGTTTCCAATCACACAGCCAATTGATACATGCTTCAATTTCAGAACCGTCTGTACTCCTTCAGCTGCTTAGACACATTTTCTGTATAAATCTAAGCTTAGAAAAGTACTTTACCTCTTAAAAGGAGTCACACACTTTGTTTTACACAAATTCTAGCTTCCTGCCTTCCAATTCACAACTACTTGACACAACTTCATAACAGCATCTAAATCCGATCTTTCAGGATCACCTCCAACAATTTACCCACCAACGTCAGACATACAGGTCTATAGTTCCCAGGCTTCTCCTTTGAACACTTCTTAAATAAAGGCACAACATTAGCCACCCTGCAGCCCTCCAGCACCTCATCTGTGGTTAAAGATGATACAAATATTTCTGCTAAGGGCCCCACAATTTCCTCCCTAACAATGTCCTGGGATACACTGGATTAGGTCCCGGAGGTTTATCCACCTTTAATGTTTGCTAAAACCTCCAGCATTTCCTCTTCTGAAATCTGAGCTGTTTTCAAAACAGCAGTATTTATTTCCCTGAGTTCTCTGGCCTCTATTTCTTTCTTCACAGTAAAAACTGATGCAAAATATTCATTTAATATCATGCCCATCTCCTGAGGTTCAACAAAAAGACAACCTTGTTGACCTTTAAGGAGCCCTATTCTCTCTCTATTTGCTCTTTTGCTCTTCATGTTTTTCAGTGTTTTTGGATTATCCTTAACCTTATCTGCTAAGGCTAAAGGTGTTCTTTTTTGTGTTGATTGGATTATTAAAAAAAGAAAACCAAAATGTAACAGACAGAAGCAAATTCTCAAAACAACTCTTTCAAACAATTACAATAAAAATATCTCCAATATAATAAATGATGTGCTATTAAGGCTGCTTGTAGAAATGTGTGCTCCCAGGAGGATCTGTGCATTTGGAATAGCATCTTATATAATTAATACATCTGAATGGAAGGAGAAAACGACTTTGTAGTCGTGGATGTTTGACTTATTTATACCTTTGTCAAACATTTAACAACAGTGCTGCAAATGAGATGGAAGTTCCTTTTTGCAGCATACAAATAATTTTTTGGACAAAATCTGCCTAATGCTGCTGCTGTTACTGCAATGAAAAG